ATGATAACCATCAAAACGCCTGCCATTTGGTATAAATAAACGCTTTATTAGACTTACGCTACTCAGTACGTGCTGCTTCATCATCATCGTGTTTCTATTGATCAGTGTAGGAGGCAATTTTGGAGCATGACGTGTATCCAATTGTCTCGATGTCTACTTTAATGATGAAAGCAACTTTAATTTGATTCAGTTGCTTCGCCGTTTGGCGTGTCACATTGATGCAGTAAAACTATTTTGACTAACACAACACGATAAAATGTGCACTGATTAAGACGTTCTATCTAGGGTATCCTGGGTCATGTGCCTTAATAAAGTTATAATTTTCAAGCTCACTGGTGGAGATTGTCTTCACTTTCAACGGGATTTAGACAGAGAAAGCTTGAAAACATGATATGAATGCTTTTTTATCAATGAGCGCTTTACTTGTTAGGCAGTATGGGAAATGCATCCAAATATATCAACAGCTTTCATACATTGATAACGAGTAAGTCAAATGGATCAACTGAATGTTTCGAAAAGCTCTTTCAAATTTCGAGGAATGGGAAACATATTCTCTTAGTGTTCTGAAAACGATCATCGACAAACACGCATTGTTATTGTAGCAACTATACGATAAAGGGAGTCGGATTTTAATATAAGAGAGGTGGCTTACATACTATATTCGGACCGTATTTTTAGCGGAATGTAAGACTTAGAACTGCCCATGACAACGTTGCATAGCTTGCTAGACCTTCGGCAAGTTGAGGAAAAGCGCCAGTTGCTATTGCCTCTCAACCTGCATAATTTGAGGGGTTGGGGAAGGAGACGGTTTTGAAACCACATCTATCTACAAATGGGGTTTTGGTAAAAATCGCGTTTTTTAGAGACAGAGAGAGAGAGAGGGAAAGAGCAGATTTAGTGCTATATGCTGACAGTTTCCTTGTGAATTAATTTAAAATTGTCTATTCAAAAGTGGGCAATAGTGGATTTAAAATCGTCTGGAAACTGTTCGGCAAATGACTTTAGACTTACATAGGAAATGTAAAAAGATTAAAGAGTGCCTGTGAAAGTCTAGTTCAAAATTGCAAGTGGCGCCTAAATCTATGACGAAAACTTGCCCAAACTTAATCGAAATCTCCCCCCCCCCCCCTCCCC